ACACATTCTCACAATTTGGGAATTCTGAAGATATTCTTGACATTGTGTTTGCTGGACTTGAGCATTTTACGTGCCTTCTCTATGAAGGATTATCAACAAAAGATATCAATAAACTGAGGCACAAGAAATTCCTGGAACGATTCAGCAGCAAACACGGAGCATTGCTGACAAGTTGCGAGGGAGTGGACATGTGCCTCCTTCCTCCTCGCAGGGATCCCCTGAAAATGCGCATAAAAAGGGCTAATTATCCAGATCATTTATGGAATCAGGCAGCCAAATTAACCCAAGCGATTCCTCCACCAGAAGCTCTTGGTTGGGAACTTGCAGATGAAAAATTGGAGTTCATGTGAACAGAAGGTGCCGCTATGCCACAAGTGTTGGTTGATGTGTTGATAGAGACGCACAGAAAAGACAGAGGAGGGTGATTTTTTTTATCTCAAGAACTGCTTCTTTGAACATGATGACTAGATTTTGTATATTTTTTTTCAATTTCAACCGAGTAAAATCATACCTGGTCTTTTGATACTGACTACATTTCCACTAAGTATTTGTTAAACTTGAAGATGAATGAAACTCGTAAAAATTGTCAAATGTGTGTATTATTGCATTAGTGGGCCCAACGCAATTTATTTATTAATAATACGTTTTTCACATAGTTCAGACTATTCCAAGACATTTTTCTTCTATGGCATTTCCGTCGAAAACGGACGGTCACCGAAATATTGCGCGAATTAGGTTGGAATGGGGCCCACATATGCAAATTTACCCCAATGTGAAATACATTAAGTTCAATTTTAGTAAAACAGGTCAAGATAGTTTTTTTGAATGCATAAGTGAGTAGGAAAACTAGACTTTATAAATTTATTTCGCCAGTCTCAACTTTGAGTAAAGCCATATCTAAAAGATGAACAATAACTGTGAAATGCAAAACACATCTCTTTTTTATTCTAGCAAAAATAGATCAAAACAGCTTTTTATTGCCTCTGTCAATGTATCCGGCTGTCAGGTTGCGAAGATTTGAACGTCATGTTGCTCTTACATAACATGAGCCTACTTCTTATTCCAGCGGAATATGTCTGGCAGACAAGCAGATACTGAAAATACATGGCTCAGACAACCCAAAAAACATGGTCTCCAAAAATCCCCAAGGGGATGGGGGGGGCGGGGGGTGATACCTGGCCCATGGACTAAGTTTTGGAGGCGGATTGCATATTAGGTTGTCAAACCTTAAGGCATTCTACCGTTAGGAAAATTTGAAATTAAAGAAACGAGTGGGCGCATCAAATCTGAGACCGAGAATGGTAGCTACGAGAACTCAAATCAGGACAAGGCGGAAGTATTAGATTAATTATTTTCCTCAATGTTCACAAGAATTCCAACAATCTCCCTTCGTTTTAGGATAAACGGTTTGACACAGCATTAACGTACGTTGAGTTCTCAAATTATATTAGAACTAAATTCCCCACTCTCAAGGTACATAAGAAACCTGGCTCTGATAGTATGCATCGCAGAGCCCCTTAAAATCCCGTTCTGCATATGCATGGATGAGCAAAAGGCCCCCAGCAAATTGGAAAATGGCATATGAGAGTCCTATATTCCAACAATGCACGAACAATTACCGGGCGATGAGTTTGATCATCAAAGTGTGTGTGAAGTATCATTGAGTATTATAAGCGATACCGGAATGGAACATCTATTACGTAACGACCTTGCAAAGAAATGGCAGAACGCTTTTATGCCCGGATGCTCCCGGCAGCTTTCTCAACTTGTTGATTCATCAACCTTCAGCTGTGACCCCTATAGTGGTGCCGGTATCTGCCAGCTCCCGATATAAACACTTTACTGAGTAATGTCCTCTGATGTATCTATAAACTTCTCTTAAGTCATATTTAGGAGACTGCCTGATGCCAGGGGTGACAACGGCACAGTCACTGAGAGATGTAACTACCGTAACGAAATTAACCAAACATGCTGGATAGTTGGGGAGCATTTAACTTAAGAAGTGCGGGTAACTGTAAGATACAAGGAACTGCTGTGGCTGAGATTTTAAAGGGTTTGAAAACTGCTATGGTGGTAACTCTCGCGCTCTCTCTCTCTGTTTAGAGAAATCGGGATTCTTTACGTGAACAATGTAGCAATGTGTATGGCATCCAACTCCTTTTTTAAATTAGAAAAAAACCACCTGAACGACAGAATGTAACCAGTGTGTTGCCTAACTGGTTTTGGCAATGTCAGAGAAATTTTGATTTCTGCCATGGTAAGCGCCCTGATATTAACCTTTCAACGTCAAACATTACAAACATATAAATTTTGTAATGTCAATCGTTTTCCACGCAGGCAACTTATACAGAGACTTTTTAGAAAATTTATTTTTGTTTCACGGGATTTTAATATTTAACATTTAATATACTGTATGTACAGTCAGCCAAAGATGCACCAACCCCACCCTGAATCTCGTGCTCGGAATTTTACCTGGCAATACTTGGTAAAGTAAGGCTGTATGTAAAGATGATTGTGATTGGTGGACCTATTTTAAGCTGTATCACTGTCAGGATAATTATTAAACAAACCAAAGGTAGAGTATTAGAATAATAAACTATTCATTGTTATTTAAGGTCATAAGAAGTTTCCAACTGTTCTTATATTTGCTTAAAAAATGAAGAAAATTTTATCTGAGAAGCTTGTGGCAGTCCTCGTTCCTCGTTGCAGTTGAGTTGCCAATTCATTAATATAATTTCTTCATTACTTAAGCAAATATACGAACATTTGGAAACTTCTCACAATCTGACTGTACATATTCTTGGTCTTCTTTTCTCTCTTTTCTCTTTAAATAAATGTAAATAACTACATGTAGGGCCTTACTCTACTGCTCGAGTCTGAAAATGTTGCAAATTTTACGTGTGTTATTGTTAGGTTTTAAATGCAAAAAAGTGGTTTTCTTACCGTAGAACTCAGATACCTTCACACTGATTTCTCACCCAGGAGAGTATGGTGTATCACTACTGAGAATTTCACTCTGCTTCCGGCATTCAATGCGTTGTGAACTTGATAAATGATGATTTAATGAATTTCATTAACTTCCAACATCCATCTAAGTTATTGGTTATACTTTGTCATAACCAATCAGTCATTACCTTTGGTAATAATAATAATAATAATAATAGAGGGGTCACAGATACGGGCAGATAATTGCACTTACGTTTATTTGGCACAGTTCCATACACTGGACTTATAATTTGCATGGATAGGTCAGTCACTCACATTCGCGCCACAGTACCGTAAGTTATAAGGGAGAGTTTGTCAACCTGGAGAATTAATCGTTAGATCTATTAGGCCGGCCTGGAGTGCTCTTGTAGCAAACAGGCCCTCACCAGTGATCACTTCCTTTACAGGGTGTGTTAACTTTTCGCTGGACTTGACAACAATCTAAGGGGATTTGCACACACAGACTCGTAGCACTGGTAAGACTGTATGGCCCCTGTTCTAAATCCGCGGAGCAGGAGGTCTACTCTCACCCAAGGTCTAAAGCCCACTGACTAAAATGTGGTTTTGACTCTTGGGGCGTGAAATCACCCCTATCGGCTGGCCGGGTACCTTATCTCTACCTAAACAAACATTTTGGATGGGTTGTGCAGGAGGCCCAATGCAACCCATGACAGTTATATTTGTGTGGACGATCTGTCGTGTTTTGTATACTACATTAATTTTCTGGCTAGAGAAAGCCTTGTGCCGATGTATATTACAGTAGATTCGATTTTGTTTCATGTGTTTGATTGTTGGGAAGCAAGATGACCACTTTCACTGCTTAATCATATGTGCGCGAGAGTTATTTACATGTATGTGTTTTAAAGATAGTGTGGCTTTCATATTTATATTTCGTAAGTAAATTGAGTCTGATCTGCCTTTTTGTTTAAGCGACACGAAAAAATAAGTTTGACATAACTTGTGAACCCCAAATGGTTATTTCACTTCTTCATTAAGGATTAGGAACAATACAAATTTTGCCTCTAATATACACAGAAGAGTATTTTCTTAAAGACTTGTCAAATATTTTTACGTTTTTAACATCTTACATAACATGAACCTTTTTTGTTATTGTTGTTATTTTTGTTTTGAGGGGTAAAAACTGGATTTCTGACCGGGTATATGCTATTCGCGAATTATTTTCATTTAATTAGGAAAAACCTGGTATCCAGTTTTTGAATCTCGTCATACACTTTCAGATGCTACTTAATTTTGAATGAGGCAACAGAATTCAAGCTTCCTGGAAATTCTTTGCTACTTTTTTCAAGGGTTTAATGGATTTTACTCTACTTTTTCTCCTTCAAAAGAAATATAGCTAGACAAGTGACAGTTATTAAGATATGTGCTTGAGCAGCACTCTACTGTACACCCATGTGTAAGTTGTACATGATTTATTTAGACATCCAAAGACACAAATATATATTTTAGGCTAAAAAAAAAGGGCGTTGTGGACGTTTTCAAAATACACAGAAAGCGAGATTTTGCGACTTGGGTTTTACCCAAACCGAACTTAACTTAACCTAACCTAAAGCGAAATTTCGCTTTCTGGTTATTTTCGCTCTTTGAGCCTAACACATATACGAAATAGACCATAATAAACAAGTAAATTTTAGATGTGTGTGCTCCTGTGGTCGGGACCAGCATTCGAATTCTCAGAGGATCGTAGATTAATTATTTTGCCTTGGATGCTTGGACGACAGAACATATCACATTTTGCTGGAGTCTGAGTACAGTATCAACGTCATCTTAATGTCCGACTCGAGTCTGTACGTATGCCAAGTGTGTATGGAGGTCGTTGTTTTATTATTGTGCTTTATCACTGTATATACTACAGTTTTAAATACAGTTAAAGCCTCTCTCTCTCTCTCTCTCTCTCTCTCTCTGATACACACACACACACACACACACACACCACCCCATTACATCACCGCAGGCAGCGTCCTTGCATCATGATCTTATTAAGGCATTTCCCCCAGGCTGGAGGATGAGCAACGGGAGATGAACCACGTGGGAAGTGTGGGCGGCGGGCGTGCGGGTGTGATGAGTGGCGACCTCAGCATGGGTGGGGACGTGGGTGTGACCCTGAGGTGTGCTGTGTACAGGGTGAGCGTGGGCGTGGTGCATGAGCTGTGTTCAGCCAACACTGTGTCCGCCGCCCTCTGTGTACAGAGATGTGAGTAAATCGAGTGTGTGTTTTTGTGTGTTTGTTTGGTTTGTATTCTTATCTGTCTATATAGTCAATATTTGTATTGCTTCTATAGCTATAGCATGAGATTATAAGTAACGACGCTGGGATTTTTCATATTATAGCCTTTTGGGTATTATATCGTCAGTGTGCTCCTACACATGTCCAGAGGTGAGTGCAGCCGCTCATATACGCCTGGGTGACACATTACCCGCGGTGCTCTGAGAGGTAATGGCATTTTCAAAATAATCGATCAGCCTTAAATTAGCTCTCGAGTGCTTCCGATAGATTATTGAAATACTTAAATGCTAGTAATACAGTTATCTATCGAGCTGTCAATTTTATCATAATGGATAAGCGTGTTGTAACGCTTAAACTTTAAACTTTATTAGTATGACATCTGATTTCTATGCATAGGAAAAGTTATCCAATTCAGTTTTTGAGTCAATTAATTCTCCGTTACACTTTGTACACAGTTAATTCTTAGCTAACCCGAAGACTCATAGTTATCGTTTTCCCCATATAGTTAAGAAAAGAGTCTGAGTCACTAGATTTATTCTTCATCTCACTTAACTTGCGAGTCGTCAGAGAGGTTGCGAGTGTCAGGACCGATGACAAAACTAGGAGGTGTCAGTGTCAGGAGTAATGACACAGCTGAGAGGCGTCAGAGAAGGTGTAAGAGGCAGAGTGATGACACATTACAGTATTGATCCAGTCATCAACATAACACGTGTTTGTATGCTGCCGCTCCATTAGTGAACAGTCACGCAAATACTACTACCAGCCCCGCCCACGTCACTCCACTTCGCTACCCTGCCTCACGTGGCTGCCCCACCTATCCTGCCCTCCCTCACCTACCTTCCCCACCCACCCTGCCCTGCTTCACCCACCCTACCATGCCTTACCTACGTGCACTACCCATCCTGCCCTACCTCATCGGACTGCTCCACCTACTCTGCCCTGCCTCGCTTGACTGCATAGCAAAGGTCGGGAAGAGAGAAACAAAATAAGGAGTGATAATATTAAGAAAGGCAATATACACCAGGATATAGTTGAGATATCGTGACTGGAAAATACAATAAGGTGAGAGAAGATTGGACCAATACAACTCAGATGCCGGTGAGATAACTGATAACGAGGGGGAAAATGAGCAGTATATGAAGATATTGTTCATCAGTTTCCACAACTGAAAACATGAACATGATACCCGTGTAAGAGGGCAAATCTTTAATGTTTGGTTGTTGGCACTCAATTTTATTTCTTCGCCCTTCTTTGTTATATTTATTATTTTCTTTTCATAAAGTACTAATTGTATTTCTTTCAATGTCTATTACTTATTTGTTTATTTCCTCTTACTTACTGTTACTCTCAAGTGTATTTAGTTATATTTTGTTATGTGGGTTAACCTGAGAGAACCACATCCTTGTCTATTGTTACGACCCTCCTTTCACCGCTTACCCAGCTACCACCACTAGTTACCAGCGGCCAGTTTGTATATACAAAAGCAGTAGATATATCACAAGTGTCGTCAAATTACCACTAGCTGTCTCGCCAGTCTTCGGTAATTTCTCGACGAATAGTATTAGTGTACAGACAAACAACAGGCAGGTAGATTTCCACCAGGTCACAGAAACACACTTGTGCACTGTAGTCTTCAATAGACACTAATTCTTCACAACACTGTTCACAGTGGACTTCTCACTTCGAATATATGGTCAGCACACTACCTATGTACAATTCCTTAGTCTTTTCGCTTTTATATTGCTCACAACAATTCTACAATACTTGCACGATAATCACTTTCAGTTGTCCTACTAGGCTTGTACTTTACACTCTGAGTAGAAACGGTCGACTAACTCAACTAGGCAGCCCGCTGCCGCTTATATACCTTTCTTCATACGATCCCAGAACACTCTTGCACAACCCAGAGATGCCTGGGAGGTTCTAAGACATTCTACTCTCATCGAGGCTTACAATATGAAGTAAATCATAACAAAAATGATGCAATACATTCCAGAAAATTCTTACATAATACGCCAAAACTTGCCAAAACAGCTGCTGCTTGGGATAGAAAATAATAAGAACACCTAGTTTACAAACATTGTAATACCAAATTATGCCTTGGCATAAAACTGCCCCCTCCCTACATTCTTGTGTCGTCTCAATACAACTATTCACTATATACACAATAATCCTGAAACTTGATAGGTCTCCTCCTCTTTCAATGCTGCCGCCGACGCACTGGGATGTCGTCAAAGTCATCTCTTGGCGCAGCAACCTCAGCCACATACTCAGAGTGGTCCCCCTCTCCTGTCACGTCCAATTCCTCTAAGAGGGAACGGTGCTCCTTTTCCTGGTACATGGTCGGGTTCTCCGGATCGGTACTTCCCTGAGTTCTTCCAGGATCTCCGGTCTGGTCCTCGTCGGTTTTATGTGACTGGTCCTCAGAGTCTTCCCAAGTGTACTGCCCTGGTCCATGATACTGTCAAGGACGATTGACGTGGACTACCTTCGGCTGAGCCTTCCCTCTTCCCCCACTCCTGTAGGCCACATCTAAAGGGCGTTCCACTACAGTGTATGGTCCTCCCCATGGACTCTGCAACTTCGGTGTCTGACCCTTCTTCCGCAGAGGGTTATACAGCCAGACCTTATCACCATCCTTGTAACAGATCTGGCTTGCTTTGACATCATGGTTGCGCTTCATCACTTCACCCAAAAACTCGAGAGCTCCTCGAACTTGAAGTTGGACCTCCGTCAACCTTTCTTGGAAGCTTTTGGCGTAACTGGTGGTTTCTTCAGGAAGTTCTTCATCAGGTGGTCTTACCTATCAGCAGGTCCACTGGCAACCGCAGTTCATGACCCAGCATCAATTTTGCCGGTGTGTATCCAGTTGACTCGTGGACAGCCGACCGATATGCCGTCAGCAGAGCAGGCAGCTTCTGGTCCCATTCTGTCTGCCCCTCAACACAGTAGTTGGCCAGTTCTTGTCCCAAGGTCCAATTAAACTTTTCTACCATTCCGTCTCACTGTGGCCGAAGGGGAGTGCTCCTAGTCTTCCTTATGCCCAACAGTTTACAGCACTCGCTGAACACAGCTGACTCAAAATTTCTGCCCTGGTCCGAGTGCAACTGGCCACTTAGTGAAGTAATCCATGGCCACACAGATGTACCTATCCCCGTCTGCAGTGAGTGGCAGAGGTATCGCAATATCCATTGCGACCCTGTCCATTGGTACGCCTGCGTGATACAACTGCAGTGGGGCACGCATGTGTAGGTTTGGTCCCTTCTTGGCGCAGCAGACATTGCATGAACGGCACCATTTTGTCACATCCTTATGCATGCCAACCCAGTAAAACCTTTGCTGCAGGCGACTCAGGGTCTTCTTCACTCCCAGATGTCCACTGACTGGATTGTTGTGCATCTCTCTCAGGTTCTCTGACCTCATTTTTCGGGGAAGTACTGTCTGCCAGTACGTGTTGAGGCCATTGGTAGTCGCCCACTGGTGCCGAAAAGCATCCCACTGCGCCCCGTGGTTTTTAGTCGTAGGACTTGCTCCAGAGATCATTTCCCAGGCTGGTCGCACTGAGCTCTGGCTCATCAACTCGACCACAGGTCGCAGATCGTGGTCTTCCAGCTGCAACGTCTGAAGGCCCTTCCCAGCAACGGCTGGATCATCCTTCATCGTAGTGCGACTACACTTCGTGGAAAGCCCCTCTCCCTGGCAACACTGCTGAAAATCGGGCTTCACCACTCCCAGGAGGGTATGCAAGGCACCGTGCACCTTGAGTGGGAATAACTACTGCCCGCATAGCTGTAACCTTAGTACTTATATGCTTCACAGTCCTCAGCGGTACCCACTTTCCCTTTATTTTCAAATGCATCAGTGCGGTTGAAACTTGCGAGGTCGGAGACAGTCCAGACCCAGGATGCAAGGGTCTACTATATCCGCTACATAAACCTGCAGAGCTTCTTCTTCCCTCCCAGCTTGATGCTCATATCCACTGTGCAGTGTCCAGTTATCCCCCACATCTGCTGCGACGTCTCAGGTAGTTTCTGATGACTAACCACGTCCAGTCTCAACCTGGACACTACTTACAGTGGCTAAGATGCATTTTGTCAACAGTGGGGCTCTGGTGAAACAGGTTGGTCGTTACCCCTGAGCACCAGCCATCTCTATTTTTCCCCGTCTTCGTGGGTTGCTCTGCTTTACCTCTCTTGGAATTCTGTGGGCAACTGGTTTTGAAATGTCCATCTTCTCCACACGTCCAATACATTTTCTTCTCCATGTTCTTCTCTGCATTGTCTTTCTCTCGCTCCCGTTTCCACTTGTAACAGTCCTCCTCTTTGTGCCCAATCTTCTCACAATATCAGCAGGTTCCTTTAAATCTCTCTGAATCTTGTACTTGACCCTTACGTGCTTTAAAGGCAGAGTTAGACTCCGTCCTGAAGCTTGGTACTTGACCTCACATAAGATTCAAACTCCAGGGCTCTTGACAAAGCTTCCTGTAGAGTTACAGGTTGGGACTGCTTCAGCTAAATCTTGAGCTGCGTGCTATCCAATACTTCCACAAACTGGTCCCTCAACAACACGGCTAACAGATCAGGTTACGCCTTATGATGAGCCATACTTTCTAGGTCTTGGGGAAGCTGTTGTAGTGTTTCACCTCGATTATGGGTACGAGTACGGAATCTGGCCCTGTAAACCCCATTTTAGTGCTTGGTTCCATAGCTTCGTTCCATTACCTTTACCAGTGACATGTAACTGCTACGCTCTGCTCCTGTCAATTGGCTAAAAACCTCCATAGCAGCGCCCTTAAGATTCGTGGCTAATTGCACTGTGCACTGCTTGTCGTCCCACCCGTTTTGTTCAGCAAATAACTCAAACTGTGCTTGGTATGCTTCCCGGGAGACCTTGCCATCGAATTCCTGAGGTTTCTTCTTCACTGGCTCTCTTGGATAGTTCACCACTTCACTTGACGTAGCTCGGGG